ACAGCCACCACCACATGTGGGGCCACGTCCTCCGCGTGGCGCTGAACGGCACTGAAAAAGACTGTCTTGGAAAACGTGGATCATCCAACCCTAAAAGTCCATGTATCGAAGACTCAGAATTACTGCCCGCCAATCTACTCCAATTATTGTACTCCAAGGTGTGAAATGAGCAAATGCGAAGACATAACCATAGACCATGGACGTGCGATGCTTGGAAAACACTCCAAATCCACAGTCCTTAAGCTGAACACAAAACATTCAAAAAGTCAAGGGAACAAGCAAGCGCAAATCTTGATCGTTGCTCCCTTGCGGCCACTCACTACTTGGCCATATCCATGAGAGCAGCATGGTTCTTGCTACGTCCATCCAACAACACATCCAGCCCAAGTCAATGTTCTTTTGGCAAACCAACCTGTGTCTGCAAGCTGTGCAACATGGATCTGGCAAACAATGCTCTTTTACTTTTCAAGCTCGTCACTACGTGTATCCAAACGTTGCTGCTTATGTGAGTGTCCTTGCTGGAGTATGTTCGAGTCAAGCGAGCTTACTTTTGAAGGAAAAGATTCGGGAACAACCTAAAATATCCTGAAATGGTTTTCAACATGGTTTCCAATGGAGGTTCGGGTGTATGTCAGCGATAGGGAGTTTTTTGCCCATGCCCAAATCTCAGCGTGTCGTGTCCTGGACCGTGCACTCTTCTCTACATGGACCGGTGGACACACCTGACTCGCAAAGGGATTTAAAGGGGATGTGGTGCTTTATCCGTCTCACAATCTGTTGATTTGTACTTACAGTAAAGGTTTTTGGCACCTGTTGGATCCTGTTGGCACATTCTCCACAGTTTCTGGTGCTTCTTTGCTTGCCCCATTCAGGCCCCTCATCAAAAAATCCACTCCTCCTCTTCTGCTTCTTGGGCTGCAAAGACCTCGGCGTTCACATAAATACCAGGCTGGACGGTCACACTCGAATCTGAGAATAAGACCAAGTGTGAAACAAGAAAGCCAACAACCCAGCAGTAGCATTTTGCAGACCATGACAGTGAGGAGAGGACCCCACCCTTCTGTTGGGTGGACTGTGGCCGTTTGCCTCACCGACCTCACCTGAGCTTAGACTCTCAAGAATCTCACTTTCATTTGAGGGCCAAGCTGGACTGGCCATCCTCTCAAGCCATCCCGGAAACCAGTGACGCCCACAGCAGGCGGGCTGAAATTCGATGAAACGATTGAAAATCAAACACAGCGAGGGAAAAACATGTACTAACTGTGACAGTCTGAAGCTGAGACATGTCCAAAACTGTATTTGTTTTTTGTTCCGGTAAACTGCATTTGCTGAGACATGTCCAAAAAAGGGCTCGGACCGGATCACAAGTAGCCTGTAGTTCTTTGATTTGGAACTGCCGTCCGAAAAATGTGTATCAGCTGATCTGTAGCACTGCAGCAGTTGTGGATGTTGACCATGATTTGTGCAATCTACATCGTTGACACCAATAACCTTCAGCTTCTCAATGTTCACTGCATATACCTTTCTTATACATCAGTACCTTGAGAAAAGATTGGTGGCAACCGGTTCCAAGGTCAACGTGTCATGCGAACTCCGACATCAATTGAGATGTGCTTGGGAGATCCGAAACAGGAGAAAGGTTGAAAGGACCAACTCCGAACGACGACGATATATTGGAGCCCAGCATGTCCTGCACACTGAAAGCCAAGCATCAAATGTCAAATATATGGTGGAATTGGGAGTCGCAAGCACCGAATCCCGAAGTCCCAAATCCAGTTCCACGAGGCGCACGGAACTCCAAAACGCCACAAGAAAAAGACTAATCCTGCAATCCTGGACTTCCATTGATTGGGGGCACAGCTGAGATCAAACCTTCTGCCCGCCGCGCAGAAGCGGCAGAAAATGCAAAAAAAACAACACAACGAGCTGTCAGCTCACAGCCTTGCCGTGCCTGGGTCTTACGTGGTCTTACTGAATCTAAAGAAAATCACCTCGGCAAATTTCTAGAAATCATTGGAGAACTAACACCCGTTCCCCAAACAACCCACATATTAAAACCCTCATTGTAACCCTCATCAACCCCTTTTGTTTCTCGTCTTCGCGCCGTTCTTGAGAAGCGCCCGAGACGTGCCGACCTTCGTCTCGGGTCCTTTGAGGCGTAGACCACGACGTCTTCACCCCCGAAAGGTGCGAGACCACGACGAGAGAATAGACAAAAGAACATGTGTTGTTGTTTTGCTGGGAGTTTGGGCCACAAGGTGCGGTGTTTCTGAGGAAAGTTCTTGGTCCAGCAGTCACACTGAAAATTGCATAGTGGTCACGCCCTCTCTCTCTCTCTCTATATATATATAAATATGAATTACATATCAATAAACTTGAGCAAACCGTAAACAACTCAGCTGGGCGCAATGGATTCGCAGGAAGTATATGATGAGCTGATGAATCAGCTTGTTGGGGGGAACCAGCGGGTAGGCTGGTAGGGGGAAAACAATTACAATGCACGCACCTTCAAAAAAGTGCCGATTCTCGTTGTAATGACAGGTTTCCACTGTGGGACATGTATTACTACATGTTATCAATACACGTTTTTCATTGCAGTGGTCAACTTGACTCCACTCGCTCGGGGAAGACTGCATCTATATTTATAATTTATACCCACTGTTCTTCATCAACCGAGGTCGAAGGCACTTGCGCCGAAGCCACAGCTCCTCTCATCAATTCATCCTGGCAGTCTCCTACAAGAGCAGGGCACGGTCTCGAGCTCAGAAGCTTTGAGCAGCTAAAAAGACTTGAAGGAATCCCTAAGTACTGTTCAGAAGTTCCGGCAATACAAGTGGGGCAACATTTACTGACAACTTCAACGAACGCAAACACGAGACGAGGGTCTATGTCTCGACTGTACACGCTCTATCTATGTCTCTCCTTGTTCTGGCCTCATAAATCGAACAGAACCGCGCCACCCCCAACAACAACAAAAATAAGAAACGGTGCATGTTTTCAAGCTTAATGGCAGTTGTTTCTGTCAGAGCACGTGAGTGGGCTGGAACACTCCTCGACATGATCTTCCATCACACCGCGTTGCTCTATAAAGGCACTCTCCCGAGGCCGCGGCCACCTTGACTTGTCGCCCTCAGCTGCATACGTTTGCCAGCAATGAGGAAAAGCAATTCGGTGCAAGAATGCATCAACGCGCTGCCGCAAAGCTCTCGCCCCAACCTCACCACAAGGCAGTGCTGCCGAAACGTTTCGGTGCTCACCATTTGTCCAAGCACGGTCGCCACAAACAACCTCTCTGCATCTTCGCTCATTTTTGAACGACTATCACCAGATCTGGCCAAATCTTGTAGCCTAGAGGGCGACCAGTCTTTCAAGGCTATTGATGAATGGCGGTCTTGAACTCAAGGGCAAGCAACTGGAATAGATATTTTCAATTTGCCAGAACCGCGAGAAAAGTTCAAGACTTCAAAGTGTACTATAATAGCGTGAAAGCATAGGGGAAAGAAAAGAAGGTGGCCGCCATTATTCGGGGCGCGTGTGAGAAGGAGCAAGCGCGCGGCATCCACAAAACAGGAGCCTGCTGTGCAGCTAGACTACAGGATGCTAGAGGAAAACAACTGGCCTTCTTGCTCTGCCAAGTCCAATGGAGTTTGACCTTACCGGCGCAGCAATGCCGCCGAAGAAACCGTAAGAACAAGAAAGCACTGCAAGTTCGGTACTTTTCGTTTACCTGACAGAAGTCGCAACCAATGCGAGCTGCTGAATCACCACAACGCTTGCATTGGTTGCCTGCACACCATACATGCTTGCCCTTGCTGCTTGCTGGCGGCTGTGCAAGCATTGAACACCATGTTTGCATATTTACTACAGCCTTGTTGAAATGTTCCAAATGCTAACTGTTAGCTGCTAACTTTGGCGTTACGCTGCGTTAAAGATGTGTCCGTGGCCCTCCACACTCCTTGCGCCCATTACGCTGTCTGACATCCAACTGGCGCTAGCTGTGCAGTTTCTAAGTGCTCTGGGGCCACGGCCGCTCTGATTCTGGGCCTCCTTCGCGGCGCCGGCAGCTATGAGTTCTTTGAGGCCTGAAGACTTTGCGGACCGCTTCTCTCAAGACTCGGCCTTCGCAGCCACTTTTCCAGGAACACATCCTCGACCTCCATTGCACCTGGCAGCACAAGGAGGCCATGTGGAAGCCCTCAAAGAACTCATAGCTGCCGGCGCCGTGAAGGAGGCCAAGACAAATTTTTGGGGCCGTAGCAGCAAGGCGGAAGGTTTTGTGATCAAAACACGAAGGAACGACCGAGAGCAGGAGCGAAGGAACGACCGGGTGTGCACCGTACAACCACACGACTCATGGACCGTTACATAGACCTCGTTTGTGACACCACCGAGCACTCCACAAGGATGAGAACAACAAGAACATTGTGCTCTGGGCTGCTGGCTAGTGATGTCAACAGTCTGTTGCACCTGGCATCGTAGCCAGATGTGTGCAAAATTAGAGTAGATCAACATGTGTTTTAGATTTATAATTTATATATATATATATTATATATGGCCTTCCAGTCTGAAAGCAAGAGTATGCTCGACAGGCCTTGATCTGCCTACTTTCATGCATTGTTCTTGTTGTTTCCGCTATCATCCCATTTGGACAGATTTCCCTTATAGTTATAACATGTTATAACTGTTTGGGGAGGGTTACTGCCAAAGACTTGAGTCAGGGTGCATTTACCGATCAATAGCCAACAGCATGCTGGATAGTTTGTGGGCAACATTGATAACCCCCAGGTGGTGTCCGCATCACGTCCCCAAATCTGGCCAAGTAAGCGGCCCACTGACAAAAAAGGGAGGTTGCACTGCTTCGGATCGGCTCGGGCTTAGGTCTGTTCAGTCATCCTGCCAACTTGCTGTTGAACAAAACAACGCACAAACATGCATGCTGGACCAGCACGGTCTCAACGAAGTCCTTGGGCCTGTCGTTCTGACCGATTTCCTTAATGCGTTCATCTGTGTCCGGCAAGCCGATGCCTTCGGCTTGAAGATTCCAGAAAAAAATCATTTTTGGGTCCTCCTGGCGGCTTGTCCAAAAGCGCTCGGCCATCCTCTCCAGGCTTTACAAAGGCGAACTCATCCGTGCAACTTTTGTAGAGATGGAGTGAGGGTGCAAAGTCACCACTGCCACACCAAACTTCATGAACCCAGAAGTTCTGCCGGTTCAGCCACGTTGTCTGCCCCGCCTGTAGTTTCACCGTTTGATGCTTACCCGGCCCAAGCTCGAGCCTGCAATCCCCATCCTCGAACTCCATGGGGCTCTCATCCAGCAGCGTCTTGTACAAGCGGCAGTGCAGCTCTCCGTAGAGCACACGAATGCTGCCCGCACACCCTCCGTGGTGATGTTTTGGGGACTGATAGCCCTGTGGCCAAAGCTCCAACACTGCGGTCAAAGGTCCCAGCTCTTGAAGGCCAAGACCGATGCCTGTGATTGTTCAGCCATCCAAGAAAAGATCATTATATATCACATAGGAATCAAACAGTGTAACAGTAACAAAACACAGAAACAAATGAAATCCAAACAACTGAAAACACAATTCAGTCTCTCAGCTCTCTTCATCGTTGTGACAAAAGAAAATGTTCCAAAACCCAGATACGAATGTAGGTCTTGAATTCGGTGCCAAATTTATTCTTCGCCATCTCACCCTTTTCCGTGAGTCTCCATCGCAAGGCTCCTCTTTGTAAAGAAGCTCTGATGGTTTCGATGTGTTTGGGCAGCACCTCCTCAACAAATTTGTTTACACCCGGTTGATGGGACAGGTCGCACACAAAACGCGCATCGTCTGGAAGATGTTCTGACTCTTTGGAACATAAAGCAGTGGCAACTGGCGATCGTGTGCGATGAGCTCCCTGACTTCCAAATGCAACTTTTCTTTCGTGTCCAAAGCATTCAACACCTTCTGAAATCCACACTCAATGCAGTCACAGCGGATTTGAAGCAAGTTCTTTCTGGGCAGTTTCTTTTGGATGATGACCTGGTTGTACCGGAACAATTGTCTCGGGGTCCGTGATCTCCATATAAACTCTTGTCTGTTGTCAAAGTCTCCCTCAGAACCTCGGTAGATCTCATCTGGAATCTGTTTGGCTGTCGCTGTCAGGTCAGCGTTTCTCTGCCAAATTCGCATGGCAAAAGGCACTCGAGCATTGTCGGTGACGCCTTCATACTTGTCTCTCACGGCACAATCTCCATAGTTTTCACAGGGCAACATGCAACACCGGGCCAACTCCTCAAACGTCCGATCCAAGAGCCTGCGCTCTTCTGCCCCCAGCACATCGGCACCTGCTTCTCTTCTTGCATGGCTGGCCATGGAAGCCGAGGCCTCTCCAGTTGGAACGCCAGACCGTTTAAATAACCAAAACAACTTTTACCAAAGGATCCTGCAGGATCTGAATCCCATATCCCCTGCATCGATGCTATGGCACAGTGCTTTGTTTTGTCTGCGTGCTCTGAAGCCTTTGACTCATTCGAGGTGTGGCGGTGAGACCAGACGATCGGATGCATCGCGATGAATCTATCTTCGCACTCGACGCGTGCAACAAATATAACACTTGGGAGACTTCGGAGTGGATCTGAAACTAAACTTGGAACCTTACAAATCCTAAACTATTCATTCAGCGACTTGCTTTGAAGGCTACGGTGTCTGGGACACCTGGATGGCATAAATAGAATGATCGCCACACACCTCTCGGCGCCTCGGAAGGACCTATTTTTCCGCGACGGGGCGTGACAAGCGATGCCCTGGAGGTGTTGGAGCATTAAAGGCCGACAATGGCACACTCCGGCCCCTTTCCAGGCATCACCCCTGTCAGTTGGCTCTTGATAGGCAAGTATACGTCATACGTACCCCAAAAATACAACTTGCAACACCACTTGAAGGGAAGGAACAGTGTGGCTTAGGTAGGCATGAGGTTTCCACCGGACATGGCCGCTGCCTGGGGGCTCCGGGTCAGTGTTTCTGATAATGATGAGTGGTGCCAGAACAGGAATTGGAGGTTTGATGCGGTTGGATTATGCAAATGGTTGCTTCTTGTTTTTCTTGTTGGCTCACGTGGGTGGTCGGTATCTATATCACCCACTGCCACTGGTGGTTGAGTAGATCAAACATAGACACTTCTATAATATCTGGAATACACTAAATCCCTTATAGTAGCAGTTGAACCGCACCAAACACCACCAGGAAGGATAAAGCGTGTCGTGGCAGCTGCGAATTACAGTGACAGTAGTAGCTTCGGAGAGGGCCGTCACAAGATGGCGCTGCTGCCTCGGGAGAAACGCAAGAAAATCAATAGATTGAATCCCTTCTCTAGGACACGTGCAGTGTGGTGTGGAGAGTTGTTCCTTGCGTGGGCACCATGGGCTATTAGATAGCATTGCAATGTGTGAATCCCACCCCGGTGCTGAGTCATTCATTCATGATTCATAGATGCTCCAAACCTACTTCCAAACCTGTCTTTGATTGCAACCGCTCGTTTTCAAACTGGTTCCCTCGGCGCCCAGCGTCGCTCCGACTCTGCCCCTGACAGCGATGGAGATGGCCCTTTTGGTTCTCCAGGGCGGGGCGGCGTGGGACGTTCAGTTCAGTGAGTCCTACTGCAATACTAGTGGCCCAACTTACTGAGCTTCCGCTGTCCATGCCGTATCCATCGATATGTAGCATCATGTCCCCACGTTCAAAGCAAAGCAGGAACATGGAGGATGTTAGGGACAAAATCAAACCAAACTTAACGTAATATATGTTGGGTGTCTTAAATCTATTCCTCAAGGTTTCCGTGCACTTCTGTCTGGTTTTCGCTCAATTTTGGGACCATCCCTCACACAAGAACCAAGCCGGGTTTCAGGTGCTCCAGGTACTTTCGGACGGTCCAAACACGTTCCCAACACGGCCTCCTAGACCTGGGAGGCCTCTCAGCTTCAGGGCCGCCTGATGCGCCTGGACTCGGATGGACTTGGATGATCTTGGATGGAGCTCCCAAGCATCTGCCAGCAGGGTTCGATTGAGTTCGTTGTCACATTGACATGACACAAACCCCTCGAGTCTAGTGTTCGTCAGCTAGACAGTTCACCCCGAAACTCTCCAAAACCTTTGGTAGCCTACTCAACACGTAGTCAAACATGACATCATTAGGTCATTTGCATGAACCGATCTGCATCCGTCTTCATCAAGGGCTCCCGATCTGCATCTCGGTTCAGTGCTCTGCCCCCAAAGCCGCTTCACTGTCTCCTCTCAGACGCTCATCCGTCGCCTGCTGGCTCCCCAGTCACGTCCTGTCCACCATCGCCTCTGGGCCCCAGGTACTGGACCGTCCACGAGTGGTCCTCAGATGAGATGTGGATGCCCGGAGTGATCAGACTGGTCACAGTGGCCGGACTCACCCAAAACCAAACTGGGGTTTTAAGTGGAACTTGACACATGAGCAAAACGAGAACATGCTGAATGACATTGAGTGCGTTTGAGTGCGGCACGGCACAGGATCCACTACCGGCCTGTTGCTTCTTTACTTTGGAACATCGAAGTGTACAGCCAACAGCTAAGAGTGAGACTGGTATCAAGGGCACTGGTGGCAAAATGCTGGGAAGAAGTCACAAGGACTGACTCTAGCATCATGATCGCCTAGCTGTTTTTCACAATTAGCTAATTAGACCACTTTTATGACAGGCCCCTTCAACCCTTCAAGCTCTACCGTTTGCTTGTTCGCACTGCAAACCTACCAACCGTCACCTCCTGCAGTCATTCCCGACCTATCCAAAGCAATATAAGCAATCAACCCACCGTCCCCTCCGACTTGCCAAGCTGCTCCACGAGCTCAAAGACTTCGCCGTCGCTGCTCTCGTCGGTGTCTCGCGGCGACGGCTCCGTGTCTCGCACCGCGGCGGCGTGCTCGGCCTCCCGCTGGGTGGGCCTGAGACGGGGGGCAGCTGGGTGGGCATGTCACAAAGCTGCAGCTTCCTTGGCTGAGGGGGACGAGAGTCCATGGAAGGGAATCATTGTGAGAAAACGATTGATATAGAAGGCTCAAAGTACTGTATGGCTTGATGATGGCTTGCCCAAGGCACACGAAGTCCATCTGCGTTCGACTTTTACTTTAATGTTCCAGTGTCGTGGTGTCCTATATAATTGCAATTTGGAACACGCAGGGAACGAAACCCACAACAACAACAACAACAACAACAACAACAACAACCACAACAACAACAACCACAACAACAACCACAACCACAACCACAACCACAACGACAACGACAACGACAACGACAACGCCAACAACACTCCACAACATCAACATTCTTCATTCTAGCAGCCTAGCATTCCAAAATAAAACTCTTGCACGAGTGTCCAGTGTCTCCACGTGCCTCCCAACTCTTTCTACAACGATTCCGCTATGCCAGCACCACTGGGCTCACCCGGCGGCGTCAAGGACCGCAGGCGCGACCCCCGGCGGCGCACCGCGTCGCCGTCGGCCTGGCTGTAACTCTCGCCAGTGGCGGCGCGGAAAAAGGGGTGGTGCTGTGGAGAAAGAAGGCAACTTCGCAACCAAGTGTCCTTTTTTGTCTTTTTCTGTCATCTTAAATCTTTTACATCTGTGAGGTCCTAGTTACTCATATGCCCTGCAACTAACTGTGTATATTATGTATATAATATATATATATAGACCTCATCTACATCTGTGAGCTCCTAGTCATAATATGCCCTGCAACTTTATATAATTGGATTCCAGTGATACCATGTTCATCAGGTCTCCACATGTCAAAGCACAGGCACAACTTCTGGGCTGCCCTCCAAACCTGTGGGTGTGACCTCCCACAAAAAGCCCAGGCCGCAGTAGGTCAGAATTCGCCCAGCAAACCTCCCTGATCCATTCACCCGTCCATTGGCTTGTTTCTCCGTCAGCTACGCTGGGAACTCCTTCTGCATGGCTGCGATGTAGGCCTCCGAGCCAGCTTCAAGAAATTTTCCCCTGAAGATTGTTGAGGTTGGTGTTTAAAAGGAACAGGCAACAAGCACCATTCGATGCAAAATGATGCCAGGCCATGGCCTCTTCCGACGCCAAAGCCTTGCCATGGTCCAAACGCTCGAGGACCTGGACGAAGCGATAAGCACTATCGGCAGCGGTGGGGGGTGGATAGAGGTGATGTGGAGCTGACCCACACCATATCACCATCCTATCAACGAGGTGATGTGGTCAAGGTGGTCAATCCAAAAAAGGACAGCACAATCATCGGCCCCAAGAAACAGCATGGACATCGCGACACGGTCGATGGAAGAAAACACGTAGATATATAGATAGGACAGGAGTCTTGACAGGAACACGCAATTGATTTCAAGCTGGGAACTCATCCTCCTCCTCCGAATCCCCGCCATCCCGAAGCACGAAGCACCGCCACGCCTTCATCACCCGCTTGGTGGCGCTGCTGTCGCCCCAGCCGCCGAGGCCGATCTCCGAAAAGCGCCGCCAATCGCACAGCGCCAGCCTTGGGCGCTCGAGGGGTGGAGCAGGATCGGTTCCAGGTAAAATGGTCGATCAAGCGTCTCACACCTGGGAGGGATTTAAGAAACTGGCACATTCTGTCATAAGTCATGATGACTCATGAAGATCGATCGATCAATCAAGCGATCAATCATTCAATCATATTCAATCAATCGCCTTCTGTGCAACAGGTCCCTTATTCGGCCCAAACACCCCCAACTGAAACGCACTCAATTTTAAGTTTCATTGAGTTTCACTAAAGGACTCAAAGCTCCTTTACCACTTACATGTCACAACCGCAAGGCCTCCACTCTCCATTCCATCCTCCCTCCCTCCCATGCCTGCCTCGCTGCCTCGTCCGTCTTCCTTCCTTCATTCCTCCCATTAAGCAAATCGAGCCACTCCAGCGAGGTTCGGAACTGCTCCAGGTCCGGAACTGGATCGCCCAGGCTTCGCAGGCGCTCCGAGAGCTCCTGCGAACGATGAAACGTCCGCGGAGGAGGACCTGCGTGAGGCCAGCGACCACCGGCTTTGAACGAAGCATGCGTATGAACCATATGCTTGTAACAGCGGCGGCAACGCACTAAGTGGCAAACACTCTGACTCCAGTGGTAATCATTAGATCCACCGCGCATGGGGCAAAATGTGGATGTGCTGGAGCTTGTCTGCGCGGTAACCGACAATCTAAACAAACGGTCCAAATGATCTCCAGCTGTTCAAGACAGCTGGATTGCAACAACATGGCGCAACATTCCAACTACACATGCAAACATGACTGCTGCATATAAAGTAAATGTATGGCCAATGTGCCCAATTATTGGCAAATGTTCTGATTCAACTGGGGTCGACTTAAACAAAGTAAAGCTTCAACTCCCCACCATCCCAATTCATTGGCGCAGAACGGTCACACAAGGGTCCTTATGATAGATCTGTAGCAGTCGTTCTTCTTCTGCGGCGTTTGAGCACACCTCTACATTAAAGAAGTATGCCTGGGCGGCCACAAAAAATAACCAAGGGGCTCACATCACAACCAAGAAAACATAGAACGAAAACTGCCTAGCTCTACATGCCTACATACGAAGCAACCCAAGTTCTTGCTGCCAAGTGTCCAAATCTTTGGTGACCTTGGAGGAAGTCGATCACTTCAGATCATGAGAAAAAAACGTCGCACCGATGGGCTGATCGAACGGATGATCCTTCCGG